AGCGAGGGTGTGTGTGTGTGTGAGTGAGCGTGTGCGTGTGAGTGTGAGTGAGCGTGTGCGCGCACGTGTGAGTGAGTGTGAGTGAGTGTGTGCACGTGTGTGAGTGTGAGTGAGCGCGTGTGAGTGAGTGTGTGTGTGAGTGAGCGTGTGTGTGTGAGCGTGTGTGCATGCGTGTGCGCATGTGAGTGAGTGTGTGAGTGTGTGTGTGTGTGAGTGAGCGTGTGTGCGTGTGAGTGTGTGTGTGAGTGAGCGTGTGCGCATGTGAGTGTGTGTGAGTGTGAGTGTGCACATGTGAGTGAATGTGTGTGTGAGTGTGAGTGAGCGTGTGCGCGCGTGTGAGTGAGTGTGTGAGTGAGCGTGTGTGTGTGTGTGTGAGCGTGTGTGTGTGTGTGTGTGTGAGTGTGCGTGTGTGCGTGTGCGCATGTGAGCGTGTGTATGTGAGTGAGCGTGTGCGCGTGTGTGAGTGTGAGTGAGCGCGTGTGAGTGAGTGTGTGTGTGAGTGAGCGTGTGCGCATGTGAGTGTGTGTGAGTGTGAGTGTGCACATGTGAGTGAATGTGTGTGTGAGTGTGAGTGAGCGTGTGCGCATGTGAGTGTGTGTGAGTGTGAGTGTGCACATGTGAGTGAATGTGTGTGTGAGTGTGAGTGAGCGTGTGCGCATGTGAGTGAGCGTGTGGACGTGTGTGTGTGTGAGTGAGCGTGTGTGCGTGTGCGCATGTGAGCGTGTGTATGTGAGTGAGCGTGTGCACGTGTGTGAGTGTGAGTGAGCGCGTGTGTGTGTGTGCGTGTGAGTGAGTGTGTGTGTGTGTGTGAGTGAGCGTGTGCGTGTGAGTGTGAGTGAGCGTGTGCGCGCACGTGTGAGTGAGTGTGAGTGAGTGTGTGCACGTGTGTGAGTGTGAGTGAGTGTGCGCGTGTGAGTGAGCGTGCGCGTGTGAGTGAGCATGTGTGTGAGTGAGCGTGTGTGTGAGTGAGCGTGTGAGTGTGTGTGTGAGCGTGTGCGCATGTGTGTGCGAGTGTGAGTGAGCGTGTGCGCGCGCGTGTGAGTGAGTGTGTGAGTGAGCGTGTGTGTGAGTGAGCGTGGGAGTGTGTGTGTGAGCGTGTGCGCATGTGTGTGCGAGTGTGAGTGAGCGTGTGCGCATGTGAGTGTGTGTGAGTGATCGTGTGCACATGTGAGTGAATGTGTGTGAGGGTGAGTGAGCGTGTGCGCGCGCGTGTGAGTGAGTGTGTGAGTGAGCGTGTGTGTGAGTGAGCGTGTGCGTGTGAGTGTGAGTGAGCGTGTGAGTGTGTGTGTGAGTGAGCGTGTGCGCATGTGAGTGTGTGTGAGTGATCGTGTGCACATGTGAGTGAATGTGTGTGAGTGTGAGTGAGCGTGTGCGCGCGTGTGAGTGAGTGTGTGAGTGAGCGTGTGTGCATGTGAGTGTGTGTGTGTGTGTGTGTGTGTGTGAGTGAGAGTGTGCGCGTGTGAGTGAGTGTGTGTGAGTGATCGTGTGCACATGTGAGTGAGTGTGTGTGAGTGATCGTGTGCACATGTGAGTGAGTGTGTGTGAGTGATCGTGTGCACATGTGAGTGAGTGTGTGTGAGTGATCGTGTGCACATGTGAGTGAGTGTGTGTGAGTGATCGTGTGCACATGTGAGTGAGTGTGTGTGAGTGATCGTGTGCACATGTGAGTGAGTGTGTGTGAGTGATCGTGTGCACATGTGAGTGAGTGTGTGTGAGTGATCGTGTGCACATGTGAGTGAGTGTGTGTGAGTGATCGTGTGCACATGTGAGTGAGTGTGTGTGAGTGATCGTGTGCACATGTGAGTGAGTGTGTGTGAGTGATCGTGTGCACATGTGAGTGAGTGTGTGTGAGTGAGCAAGTGTGAGTGTGTGTGTGTGTGTGTGTGTGAGTGAGCAAGTGTGAGTGAGCGTGTGCACATTTGAGTGAGTGTGTGAGCGTGTGTGAGTGTGAGTGAGCGTGTGAGTGTGTGTGAGTGAGCATGTGTGTGAGTGAGCGTGTGAGTGTGTGTGTGAGCGTGTGCGCGTGTGTGTGAGTGTGAGTGAGCGTGTGAGTGTGTGTGAGTGAGTGTGTGTGAGTGAGCGTGTGTGAGTGTGTGTGTGAGTGAGCGTGTGCGCATGTGAGTGTGTGTGAGTGAGCGTGTGCGCATGTGAGTGAGCGTGTGTGTCAGAAAATTTCACTAGTTGTCCGTTCACTTAGTCTCGTTCAGCCAAACTGTTAACTATCTGACTGACATGTTAGGAGTTCAACCACAGTTTTGTGTTTTGAGAAAATCCTAACTCTAACATAATAATGAGAGGTATAGTGTGCAGGTGAACTGGAGCATATCATCTGCGTCCATTTAAACTTTCTCCACACCTTCAGCGCAGCACAATCCATGCCTGATTTCTGTGATTCACTTTCTCCAATCACTTTCAGCTGCAGTTCGGAGTAAAAGTGAGTGAGTGAGTGAGTGAGTGTGTGTGTGTGTGAGTGAGTGAGTGAGTGAGTGTGTGTGTGTGTGTGCGTGTGTGTGAGTGTGAGTGAGCGTGTGAGTGAGTGTGTGTGTGTTTGTGTGTGTGCGCAAGTCATTTGTTGTGTGAATAATTACTTTCTCCTTCTTTTATGTCCATTAACTGTATGCTATGGTTGTGTTGTTCAGGCTCGACTCTTCCCCGAGTGCTTCCGCTCTGTGCTCCGTCCCGTGTGGAGGCTCTGTTCCCTCACTCCACAGACTCCTGCGAGGCAGAGAAGCCAGGAGACCGAGGAGGAAGCTCATGTCTGCTGTCCTTCCTCCCTGGAGACGCTCTGTCCCTGCTGATCAGTGAACCCAGAGACGGCTGGCACTACGGCCAGAACGAGCGCACGGGACGGTATCTGACCATCAGCCTTTCAGTCAGGGACAGTTAAACACTAGCTATGCCTCATTTTTGTACTGATTTGTGGTGCAGAACTGAATAATCCTGTCAGCAATATGAGGAGCCTGTTCTGAGAACAAGGCTTATATGGTTGTTTTACAATGGCTTGGCATAAAGCAAGATTTTCCTTTTGTTTGAAGCAAGTTTAAAGCCTGTGCACACCAAGAGTAAAGCCCTTCAAAACTATGCCTGAGGATCAGTGTTATCTTAGTATTATTAATATACTAATATAGTATTTAGTAATATTCTGAAATTATTTGTATTTTCAGTTTTATTTTATTTTTAGTTAAAAAAATTTGTCCAACATTCACTTTTTTTTTTTTACTGTATTTATTCATTTGTATTTTAGTTTTAGTTAGTTGCTAAAGCAATTTTTCAATTTTCTTTTAGTTTTAAGTTTTTTTTCAAGGATTATTTATATTTTATTTATTGGCCATTAGTTTTTGTTTTTAAAAAATGTTTATTTGAACTTTAATGTCAGTAACTGTAGTACATTTAAATGAAAATTAGAAATGTTGCTTTGGCCACTAAGTACTAAAATGACTAAAACAACAAAAAAAAACATAACAGAAATATAAAAAAGACCAAAAATTAAACCCAGATTAAAATAGATTAAGATTAAAATAAAATATTAATTTAAAATGAAATTAAAATTTGAAATGTTGCTTGGGTAGCTAACTGAGATAAAATAAGTGAAATGTTTTTGTAATATTTACATTATTTTGTTTCTGTTTTATTTCAATTAATGACATTTTTAATAGGTTTAGAGTTTGTTAATGACAACAATGCTGCTGAAGATGGAAAGATAGAGTACAGTTAGTGTGAGCTTTGGGATCATGCTTCTGAAATACAGTGCAATCTATATTATCTGAGGGACTTTTTTTCTGTGCATTAATACATATTATTAACTGCATTGCATTTCATTTAATCTGGTTTGTAGACTTTTCTTCATCTGCAGTTTTTTTTTTCAGTCTTGTATGAAAAGGCCTTTTAAAAGCTTATTGCTGTTTAAGTTTATGGTGTCTCAGATATTCAGACGCTTGTTTTATTGTTATGCTGATGTTCTGAACTCTCTCTCCTTCATAGAAAAGGCTGGTTTCCCTTCTCCTACACACAGCCTTTCCCCAACACTCCCGGACAAGATCTCAGGTCTGATCCATCCCAATGACATACCGTAATATCTTGCTGCTGTCTCAGAAGGGCATGCATTCCCATCACTCCCCTCTTCTTCTCTGTGTCTCTCATCACGGCTGCAGTCCTCCTGCCCTGTCGAAGGTGAACAGCAGCAGTATGGGGCAGCTGGACAGGCTTCCCCCCGCGGGTCAGATGCTGCAGGTCAGTCCCGACTCCGAGGACGAGAGGAGCGTGTTGTCCCAGCGCATCAGCACCTTCAGACCGCGACCCTACAGCATGATGAACCCCGAGACCAGCAGGATGAGGGTCAGAGAAACCACCTTCACGATGACTGTCACTGTGACTGTATTGCTTTTTGAATGAAATGAAAAATAGCTTAAATGTGCTCACCTTCAGGCCATCTGAGATTAGGATGAGTTTGTTTCTTCATCAGATTTGGAGAAATGCAGCATTGCATCAGTGTCTCAGCAATGGATGCTCTGCAGTGAATGGGTGCCGTCAGAATGAGAGTCCAAACAGCTGATAAAAACATCACAATAATCCACA